GCAGAGCGCTGGCACAGGCTGCCCAGAGAGGTGGGGGAGTCTCCCACTCTGGAGCCATTCCAAACCCGCCGGGACGCCGTCCTGTGCCACTGCTGGAGGTGCCCCTGCTCTGGCAGGGGGTGGCACTGGGGGAGCTCCAGAGGGCCCTTCCCACCCTCACCAGTCTGCGATCTCCAGGCACTGCTCAAATGCTTCTGGCGAGCTATAAGCAGAGAGGAGCCACCCGCAAGGCACATTCAGCACCCGGGAGCTCCCGCTCGCCCGGAGCACGCACAACCCGGGCCCTCCACGCGCTGCAAAGCGGGTTATGAAGACGCGATGCAGCCCGCTGGATGGCCGGGGAGGGTAATCCAGCTGACACAGCAGAATTGGGCTTTCAGGAAGTTTTTGATCAGGCTCAAATAAACCGTCGCAGGAGAAGCACAAAGGTCCCCTTGTCAGAAATAAGTAGGCGATAACCCATTTCGCCCTGGAGATTACCAGGAGCGCAGCATGAGCACAGCGTACGAGCTCTGCTTCTCAGCAAATGGGTCTGGCAAAGGGCATGAAGGAACACCAGGGAGAAGTTGTCACTGGATTACCACATCCAAGGAAAAACTCATGGTCACATGAAGCCCAGACTGGAGCTATGGGTGATACTTAAAACCCCGCAGGGAGGAATAAAGCAAAGCTCTTGGCAGAAGAAAGAATCCTTCAAGACTGCTCCATGCATGAGTTGTCAGCACACAGCAGCCCAAGGGCATCGCAGGACCTACTTGCACAGCTTCAAGCTAAACAGAAACCACCCTGTGACCATGGGGACCTGCAGCACACACAGGCACAGCACTGGGCACGGGTGGCAGTGGCAGGAGGAGAAGGGGAGGAGGTAGCTCTGGGAGGCTGACTGGCCAGGCTGGATCGTCATCCCACACTGGGGCAGAAATCAGGTGTCCACGGAAGAAATCTCTAGAGGAAGCGAAGTCCACGAGCTGCGTGGCAGAGCTGTTCAGGGTGTCTGACAGCGTGCAGGGGCAGGATTGTCCTTCCCCATGTTAGTACAATCCAACCCATCTCCTGCCTTGGGACACCCATGGGCCAGCAATGGCCCCAAGGCTGCAAGGGGACCACCACCACCACCACCTCCACTATGTGTGAGGGGCTCCTTGTTTCACCCAACGGGGAGCAGAAGCCCCTTCCCAGCCATAGCTGTGCCTCTCCACACCCCACTCAGGGGGCTGCATCCATCCCGAAGCCCCCAGCCCAGGCGCTACCCTGGGAGCGGAGCAGCGCCTGAGCTCCACTGCCTGCAGGACACCTTTCTCCAGCCGCGTCACCATGACCTGGCAGCAGCCAGGGACTCCTGGGACAAGCTGGCAGGGTGCTGGATGCCAGCCCAGGCAGGGCAGGGCAGGCACGAGCCTGCGGCAGGCAGGATAAACCAGTGCCTGCCCGTGCTCGTTGCTGTTCCCAACCAGAAAGCCTGTGACAAGGAACGGCCAGAGGCCATCGCTGGGGAGGAAAGGGCATTTCCCTGCAGTTACCTCCAGCTTGCTCCAGAACACGCACGGGTAAGCGCAGCGGGGCTCTGCCTGCGGGAGACAACAGCAGATGGCACCAGGAGGCCAAAAAACCCACCGGCTGCATCTGGTTTGTCCCTCTGCTTCTCAGCTGGCAGCTGGGTAAAGCCCTGAAGTGCTGATGGGAGGGAAGGACGCAGCTCCCGAGGCCAGCGGCCATGAGTCCTGGACCCCTCTCAATCACACGCAGCCCAGCTCGGCACCAGCACTGCTAATTTGGGGTTCGGCCACCAAACGGAGCTGGAGCAGTGCTTTGCAGGGTACAGGATCCAACACAGCCCCTCTGATGCCACCCACGCCTCCCCTGGGCTTCGTCCCCACTCCCTGACTTCTTCTGGGTCATCTCCAGGATGGCATTTTTTTTTTGTCCCCTCCCTCTGCTCATTTGTTGGAGCAAATCCTGCACGGTGGCATCAGGAGGGGTCGTAGTGTGGGGAAGGGGGTCCGGCGCATGGCATTGCTCAGCTCTCTTGGGTGGGAACCCCCCCATGCGGCGCAGGCAGAGCTCATCTAACAGAGTCCCACGCACGCAACCCCCCAAATCTGCTGTGGGGCAGGGGGGGACACCAGCACAGCCCAGGCGCTCACAAACCACTGACAACCCCCCCATGAGCAGGCAGGATACCCGTGCAGGCAGAGCCTGCCTGCAAAAGCTCTCGGTGGTCAGCCGGAGCGAGGAGGGCAGCGACACCAGCACCATCACCACCACCGGGTCACGCCGGCGGCCAGCTCAGCCCCACGGGGATGCTGAGCAACATGTCCAGACCACAGCTGTGTGCCCGGGGAAGAAAACCACCCGAAAACACCACTGCTTCACACCATTCCCACCCTCCACGGGCGTATTTTGAAGGTTTTACATTAGAAAAATAAATGCAGTTTGCAGCTCAGTCTGCAAAGGGCTGGGATGAGCGCAACCCTGCATCCCACCCCCCCCCC